GAGGGAGCGAGAGAGCGAGAGAGCGTGTCGCTCCACACCCGTTACACTCTCTCGCCGCCCGGCGCCGGCGGAGCAGCGCGCCTTGGCTGCCTGGCAGTGGCAACCCGGCGTACAGCGCGGCGGGTGGGTTGCCTACCTGCCACTCCGCAGGAGTTCGGGCCGGGAGGCGGCTCGAGCGTGGCGGCGCGGCGCGGCGCGGCGGCGTGCTGCGGCGTGGCGTGGCGCGGCGGCCAGCCCAGCCATGGGCCAGCGGCCTCAATACTCTGTTATACTCTGTTTTCGATCGGGCCGGGCGGAGCGGGACTTTCGCAGACTGCCGCTAAGTGGGGCGAGTGCAAAGGAAAAATTTTCCACTCGCTTCGTTCTCCTAAATATCGAAGAATAAAAGAAGGGAATCGGTGACATGATTCCTCCGCGCGCGTTGATCTCAGTGAAAATGATACAACATTGTTGTGCTCGTTTATCAGCTCCGATGCCACCCCCCCCCCCCCACTTCTCTAATTAGAGATATTTTCACTTGATATTTTATTTAAAAGATGGTGACGTATGGCTACCATTCATTACCAATTTACTCTCTCAAGCCAACTAAACATTGATCAAGAATTCTAAACAAAATATGATCACGGCGATCACACCTTTATCAACATGGTTAACAAGGGAACCTTTTCACGTGTAAATCTCCCGATTTCGTTGAAACTTGGAAAAATTGGAGGTTATCTATGTAGAAATCGGATAACACTTGAAATTTTTCCTAAACCTGACATTTAGTTTTCCTCTAGGGTAGGAGTAAGGTGTTAAAAAAAGATATATTTGAAAAATGTAAAGCAGTGTGCTAAGGGGTAACTCTGGCCCTCTGAGCCAAAATTTCGTCCGTTTTGCTCTATTTTGAACCGTTAAAGCGGTAGAGGGATATTTGGACCAAAAAAGTGGCAGGCTTAAGTAAACCCCTAGTAAATTTTAAGTGCCATCCGACTTCTATTATAATAACATTTAAATTTTCCGAGTCCCAACGAAATCGGAGATTTACACCTGAAAAGGTTCCCTGTAAATCACGTCACGTGATCAGGCGCCCAATATGTCTTATGCAAGTAAAATTTTCTTAGCTTCCGCACACTTAACCCCTATGCATTTTTTGTGCATGGTTATACAGCCTGGCATACAGCCATAGTTATGCTCATCCTTTCATGCACAACAGAATGCAGAAGGTTTTAGTGCGCGATGCGTAGATCAATCGGTTTTCTGAGTGCATGTGTTCACAGGATTGCGGGAGTCGTGGCCGTGTGGCGCATGAGAGTCCGACAGTTTAATTGCACTACAGAGGTTATCACGAAAACAGCAGTGCAATATTTTAAAATATGTTATGCCGAGTTAACATACTGGCTTCTTCCGTGTTTACCTTCGCAGCTCTTCCCATCCCTTCCCGCCCCCATCACGAGAATAACCAGGACTCCCCCGGGGGGAGGGGAAGGGGGCGGGGAGGGGGTCAGC